GGCTGAGGAAGTACGACGAGTCGGTAGAGCCATAGAGCTCTACACCATGCACCAAGGTGGCGGGTCCACCAAACAAAACAACATACCCCAGAGGCGCCCTGGGTCATCAAACCAACATCATAATCACTCTCACGGGTTCAAGCCGTTCGGGCTGCAGCCAGGACAGGGTGCTCCCATGGATATCGGCGCGGTCCAAGGCGGACAAATGCGCAGATTCAAGGGCAACTGTTACAACTGCGGCCAAGAGGGACACATGTCCCGAGACTGTAGAAACGGGGCGCAGGCTGCCTTGTGTTATCGTAACACAAGGGCGCCAGGCACGCCAACTAGAAATCGAAAAGCCGGACGATCGGCTCAACTCTTTGGCTGGCCGTTCTTACGACGAAATCCGGGCCTTCTTCTATGACCAACAGGTCAACGAAATGAAGGCTCAGGGAAAAGAATTCGGGGCTTAGGTCACTTGGGTACCTTAGCTCCTGGTAAAAATGAAGTAAACCACAACAAAGTGGCCCCTGCTCCGGGGTGTTGCACGAGCAATAACGGAATGACGGGGATGGCTCCCCAATTTGTAAATAAGTTTTAAATTTGTTATCAGAAGTATGTACTTGTATGAAGAAATGTAACTGTAATATTTATGATACTACCGCTGCACCAGCGTCTCCCTTGGAGCGTGGCCCCGGCGAGACAAACACTAGGGTGCTTGATTCTGGTAAAACAAAAATAGAAAAACATGTGTCATTCAAAATTTCTTCTTCTTCTTCTTCTTCTTTGGAGCCACCCTTTCCCGAAATCCCAAGGCGTGTGTTGATGCGCACGTATTTATTCCAAAAGGAGATCCGTTTAGACGTTGGTGTGGAAAACCTTGCCAGGGGCAAAGTACACTCAACGAGCGCACTGCTTGATTCAGGCGCTAACGGGATCTTCATAGATCAGGTCTGGGCGGAGCAAATTGGACTCCCCCTTGTAAAATTAGAAACGTCTATTCCCGTCTATAACGTTGACGGTACGCTTAACGCAGGTGGCTGTATTACACACAAATGTTCTTTTGTGGTCGAATACCAAGGACACAGAGAACGAGTCACTGCCGAGGCTACCCAACTAGGGAAGATTAATTTAATCTTAGGCTGGACCTGGCTATTTAAACACAATCCTGAGATCAACTGGCAGACAGGGGTTGTCACATTGTCACGTTGTCCCCAGGAATGTGTAAACTTGGGTAAACCAAATCATGTCCGTCACAATGAGCGTCTCGAAAAGATAAACGCTAGTCACGTTTACGAGCTCAGATCTTTAGAAAAGATCGACGATGACGATGATGAGGTAAAACCTGAGGAAGAGATTAAGAGGCTGGTACCTCCCGAGTACCACGACTTCTGGAAAGTCTTTTCGAAACACAAATCAGAGCGCTTCCCAGAGGCTAAGCCTTGGGACCATGCTATAGATTTGAAAGACACCTTCAAACCAAGGAAGGGACACATGATACCGCTCTCTGCTCCTGAAAGAGACGAGGTATCTAGTTTCATAGACGAACAACTTAGGAAGGGTTACATCAGACCTTCCAAAAGTCCTATGACGTCCCCGGTGTTCTTCATTCCTAAAAAGGATGGTAAAAAGCGAATGATTATGGACTATCGTTACGTGAATGAGCACACAGTTAAAAATGCGTATCTGCTGCCTTTGATTAGTCAGCTGGTGGACAAATTGGCTGGCGCCAAAATCCTGACAAAAATGGATCTCAGATGGGGGTACAACAATGTACGAATCAAAGAGGAAGATGCTTGGAAGGCCGCATTCACGTGCCACCGAGGATCTTTTGAACCCCTTGTTATGTTCTTTGGGTTGACCAATTCACCGGCGACCTTCCAGAGCATGATGAACGAGATCTTTGCGGATATGGAAAACTGTGTCGTCATTTACATTGACGATTTATTAATATTTACAAAGTCGGACAATGAGGCTGAGCATGACAGGATCGTGCAAAAAGTCCTTCGACGCTTACAGGAACGGGACCTATTCGTTAAACCCGAAAAATGTAATTTTAAAGTGAAGGAAGTAGACTTCCTCGGTATGATCATAGGCCAGAACGGAATCAGGATGAACCCTGAGAAAGTTCAAGCTATTTTGGAATGGCCAGAACCTACTCGCGTCAAAGGAGTTAGGGCTTTCCTAGGCTTAGGTAATTTCTACCGAAGGTTTATTGAAAACTTTGCAAAAATCACGAGACCGTTGAACGATCTCACCAAAAAGGACCTTGTTTGGCAGTGGGGCGCCAAAGAACAGGAAGCTTTTGATAAGCTTAAACAGGCATTTACAACAGCGCCCATATTGGCATTCCCTGAATTAGACAAAGAGTTCCGGCTAGAAACCGACTCTTCTGACTTCGCCACTGGGGCTGTTCTATCAATCAAAAGCCCTGATAATCTTTGGAGGCCTTGTGCCTATTTATCGCATAGTTTGTCGCCTACAGAGCGCAACTATCAAATATACGACAAAGAGATGCTGGCCATCATTAGAGCTTTAGAGCACTGGCGGCACTACTTAGAAGGTGCTAGACACCAATTCAAAATTTGGACCGATCATAAGAACCTAGAGTACTTCATGACGGCCCGAGACCTGAACCGGAGACAAGCCCGCTATGCGGTGTACTTGTCAAGGTTCAATTATAAATTAATTCATAAGCCAGGAAGCTCAATGGGGAAAGCGGATGCTTTATCTAGAAGAGAGGATCATGCCAACGGCATTGAAGATGACAACAAAGGTGTCACCCTGTTAGATCAATCAAGGGTTGCCAATGTTAGAATCGGGCAAGATTCCGCTCTCCTGGAAGTCTTCAGGAAAGACATCTCCCCAGAGGAAAAGGCGCGCCTTGACGGCAATAAAAACTATTCATGGAAAGACGGGCTCTTTCATTTCAAAAACAAAATCTATGTGCCTGAGTCCGCAAGGATCAAGGCAATGGATAGACATCATGACACTCCAGTGGCTGGGCACCCTGGATGGCAACAAACAATGGAGTTGATCTCCAGAAACTACATGTGGCCGGGCATGGTCAAAGACATACAGGAATACGTAAAATCCTGTCTAAGATGCACCATGGCCAAGAATTCCCATCAACCGCCGGCGGGTAAACTCATGCCGAACCCGATACCAGCTGGCCCCTGGCAGGATATATCGGTGGACTTCACGACGGATCTGCCCGAGTCAAACGGGTACGATTCAGTAATGGTGGTAGTGGACCGCTTCTCCAAAGAAGTGGTATTCATACCCACCAACAAAACCATCACCGCCGCCGGTATGGCAGACCTATTTAAGGATTTCGTATGGTCAATCCATGGGTTACCAGAAATGGTAATCTCCGATAGAGGACCGCAATTCGCTAGCGAATTTACGAAAGAATTATGCCGGATGCTGGGCATCAAACCTAAATTATCCACGGCGTTCCACCCGCAAACCGATGGACAAACGGAGAGACTCAACCAGGAGTTGAAACAGTATCTCTGGATATTTATTAACGACAGACAGACAGATTGGGCCAAGTGGCTAAAGATAGCCCAGTTCTCTTATAATATTAAACAGTCATTGGCTACAGGAAAGGCACCATTCGAGGTTACTAGATCGTACCTCCCCAGAATGGGTGTAGAACCTGGCAAAAGCAAAAACGAGGCTGCTGGGAACATGGCAAAAGACATGAAGTCTGTCTTGGACGAAACGCGCAAAGCGCTATTTAAAACTGCGGAGCAGATGAAAGACAGGGCAGAGCGTAGACGCTCTAAGGCCCCTGATTACAAGGTCGGCGACCTGGTCTGGTTAGACACCGACCACTTGAAATTAAAAGACCGGCAGTCTAGAAAACTGACCGAAAAGTGGATTGGCCCTTACCGGATTAAGGAAGTCAAACCTAATGCGGTGGAGCTGGAACTCCCAAAACGAATGAGGGTGGTACCCACGGTTAACATTAGCCGTGTGAAACCCTACAAAGGACCGCTGCCGGGACAGTGCGTAGACCGGCCCGGTCCGGTAGTAGTCACCCAGGAAGGTGAAGAAGAGTTCGAAGTCGAATGGGTGGTAGATGCACGCTTGAAGCGTGGAAAATTAGAGTTCCTGGTCCTATGGAAGGGCTATGGAGACGAGGACAGAACGTGGGAACCAGAATCCCATCTGGAAAACTCCCGCGACGCTGTTCGCGAATTTTATTCTAGGAATCCCTCAGCTCCCAGGAAGCTTAGAGGCATGGATTCAAACCTTTTTAATTCCCTCTTTCAACCTATGCCCGAAAATTTTACCACTACCTCCAGAATTTGGTCTCGCCTGGAAGTCGAGCCTTAGAAGGGGGGTAGTGTTACGATAACACAATTTCCGGACATCTCCTGTCCTTTTTATTCTCTGCTTTAACTTTATACTTTAAGTGCCACGCGGCATTTCCCTTTCTCGCGCCGCGTTGCCTTTCTTTTACTTTTAGACTTAACTCTCTCACGCAGTGGAGCTGGCCATACGGGCTAGGCCCTATGACATCATCAGCCACTGCCTTCATCAACTGTATAGTACACATGTACAAACAACCTGTAGTAGTATATATACCCCAATAGATCCAGGAGACTCCTCAGCGAGTCCTCCTGTTGTATACCAACTAACTCACTGCAGCCCTCGGGGTACCCACTCCCCATCTTCCACTACCTTTATAGTGTGTTCCTGTGTGCGCCAGAGTAACTAACTCTTGGTTGTTACAGTCATAGGGCACAGCCCGTGTGACCAGCTCTACTGCGTGAGATACTTGTATCTAAAAATAAAGAAAGGCAGTGCAGCGTGAGAAGGTGGAGTTTGAACAAAAGGGAAAGTGCTGCATGGCACAGTGTGTGAAAACTACAGAAGAAAGTTGAAGAGGAGAATGAAATTTAAAGGTCCAAAAATTGTGTTATTGTAACACTACCCCCCTTCCAAGGCTTGACTTCCAGGCAAGACCAAGTACCGGAGGTGGTAGTTGAATTTTTGGGCATAGGTTGAAAAAGGGAATTAAAAAATGTTGAATCTATGCCTCTAAGCTTCCTAGAAGCTAAGGGATTCCTAGAATAAAATATGCAAACAGCTTTGTGGGAATTGTCTAGATGGGCTTCTGGTTCCCATGTTCTGTCTTCGTCTCCATAGCCCTTCCATTGTGACAACACCAACAAGACACAGTCTTGGGGCACTGGAGCACAATGAAACAACACTCAAAAGAAGAAGAAGAAGTGGGTTACCAGTCAGCAGTATGTACCGCTGACCAGTCAAAGTCGCTGAGGTAGCAAGTAAGCCCTTATACAGACTTAGTAGGGTAGGACCGAGTTGGTTGTTGGTAGACAACGGGAGGACTCGCTGAGTCCTTCCCCAAGATCTATTGGGGTTTATATACTAATACAGGTTTGTTTGTACATATGTACTGTACAGTTGCTAGAGGCAGTGGCTGCTGATGTCATAGGGC